AGGAATTAGGTTACACATTTTAATGGATTTCAAGGCCGAGATAAAGCCGGCTCTTTTGCAATTCCTTTCCTCAAGGACGCCCATCCTGGGGTCAAAAAAGCAGCTTCCTTGGGGAGGGGGGGGCAGAAAATTTCCCTCCGATTTGGGGGCTACTGGGTCAGTTTTTCCTGGCAGGAGAATGCTCTGTCCATCCTGTGGAGCAATGCGGACCCCACCGGCTAAGAAATTCCATTCTCATCCAAGAACTGAAGAAGTTTCTTGGATGAGAAGCGAAACGTTTTCAAAGAAAAAAACCCAAGGAAGTCCAGTTGCCTTTTCGATTATTTGCAATAATCGATCAATCAATTAAATAAATAAAATACAGCTGCAGGCTCAATGAGATATTTGTACCACCAAGGATAAGCCAGCCTTCAGGTGTGCTTCCCCAAAGGAGCAGGCAGGGAGCTGATCTGCAGCTCTTTAAAGCAGCTGCCTCTTTTCCTGGCATCACAGCCACAGCAGCTGCTAGACAGAGGATCCCAGGAAAACAATGTTTTAAAGAGCTGCAGCCGAGGGCTCTCCTCCTGCCCCTCGGCTTTTGAATGCCCCTTTATGGAACTGAAACTTTATGGTATGTCTAATCTGATGAACAGAAGGACCAGGGGTGACATGGTAGCAGTCTTCCAATATCTCCCAAAGAAGAGGGAGTCCAGCTATTCTCCAAAGCACCTGAGGGCAGGACAAGAAGCAATGGGTGGAAACTCATCAAGGAGAGAAGCAACTTGGAACTAAGGAGAAATTTCCTGATAGTGAGAACAATTAACCAGTGGAACTGCTTGCCACCAGAAGTTGTGGGTGCTCCAACACTGGAAATTTTTAAGATGATGGATAACCAATTGCCCAAAATGGTATAGCGTTTTCTGCCTAAGCAGCGGGTTGGACTATAAGACCTCCAAGGTCCCTTCCAACTCTCTTATTCTATTCTATTGTAATCCAAAGCATTGCGTGGCCCCGACTGGTCCCCACGGCATGGCTTCAGGCAGGACAGAGCTCAAACAAGATATTGTGCGAACATTTGCTCCATGCAGACAGATGTGTTGGAGTGTCTTGGTTGGTTTCAGGCTTCACGGAGGTGCAACTTTTTAGTAAGAGGTTGTCTCCAAGCTGCTGAATAGAAGGCCTCTTTTGGAGACGAGGAGGGGGCTCGGAAGATGGTGCGCCATCACAAAAGAAGAGGGGGTCAAATTATTCTCCAAAGCATCAGAGGGCAGGACATGAAACAATGGTTGGAAACTAACCAAAGAGGGAAGCAACCTGGAACTAAGGAGAAACTTCCTAACAGTGAGGACAATTTACCACTGGAACAGCTTGCCACTAGAAATCGTGGGTGCTCTGTCACTGGAATGGTATAGGTTGTCCTGCTTGAGTAGGAGGCTGGACTAGAAGACTTCCAAGGTCCCTTCCAGTTCTACTCTACTCTACTCTACTCTACTCTACTCTACTCTACTCTACTCTACTCTACTCTGTTCTATATTCTCTACTCTATTCTAGGCTCATTGCCAAGTGTCTATGAAGATTCTCAGCCATCCGAATCATCGTTATATCAAAAGTGGGTTTTTTTAATTCTAATTTTTTGAGGAAAAACAAAACAAAGTCAGCACGTGGCCCCACATAGGAGATTTAATCCATCAGGACGAGATTTGGCCGTCCATCTGCATTTGAAAGATAAGGTCCCTCTTTTGAAGACAGCGAAGTCCACATTTTGGACAGAGAGGACGGCTGGTTGGAAAGAAGGGTCAAAGAGGCCACCTAGGTCGAAACTGAACAGCCCCTCCCTCAACAGAGGGGGAGGGGTAAAATATCATCTACTTCCAGTCTACAACACAGTCCTTTCAGCAGTTCCAAGAAGCCTCCTCACCCATTTGCACCACTCAGGTGACCCTGAGGACACAGATAAAACCCCCAAGAACCACAAGGGCTCTCAGAGAGTGTTAAAACTGGCAAAGAAAACACAATCTTTCCATCCATCCCCCCCAATCATCCTGTCAAAACCCATCATTCCCCACTGCCATCAACTCATCTCAACTGTCACTAACTATTCCTCCATCTCCCACACCATCCAATACAACCGATGAAGCTTCTAAGACAGGAAGTGAAACGTCTTTTCTCCCCCCTTAAAAAATCAGTCCAGTTGCCTTTTCAAAAATAAAAAAAACCACTTTTGATACTCCTTGCCAAGGTTACGATGCAACATATGACGAATGGTTGCAGGAACTGGGCCTGGCTAGTCTAGTGAAGAGAAGGACCAGGGGAGACAGGACAGCAGCCTTCCAATATTTGAGGGGCTGCCACAGAGAGGAGGAAGGAGGTCAAGCTATTTCCCAAAGGCACCTGAAGGCCAGACAAGGAACAATGGATGGAAACTGAACAAGGAGAGATTCAACCTGGAAATAAGGAGGAATTTTCTGACAGTGAGAACAATCAACCCATGGAACAGAAGTTGCCTTTGGAAGTTGTGGGAGCTTCATCACTGGAGGCTTTCAAGAAGGGACTAGACTGCCATCGGTCAGAAATGGTGTAGGGTCTCCTGCTTGAGCAGGGGGTTGGACTAGATGACCTACAAGGCCCCTTCCAACTCTCTTAATCTGTATCTGTATTGGTTTAAGCCAAGGTTGGGAGGGGCAGCATTGTCTAGCAAGGGGGACCCCCCTCATTTTCTGCTGCTTAATGCCACCAGTTTCTCTGCTTGAAAACCAGGAATTTGCCCTGCCTCCCTGCAGCTCCGAAGCCTCTGGCCACCTCCTTGGGGCTACTCAGAGGCCCCACCTCAATGGCAAGGGGAAATAAGCAATCTGGCCTCCCTGCTTCCTGCCATCTCTTCCGCGCTGCCTCGGAGGCCGGAGGAGCAGCGTGGGGATTACTTAGCCTCCTGACACTTTTACTTAATGTCACGATTTCGGTGGGCCAGAAATCAACCCTGAAAGGAGGGAGAGAAAAAAAAAAACGTGATTTGATTTAACTTTTGCTTCTTGACCCAGAGTCGGCCATTAAGGGGCGAAAAAGAGATCTGCAGAAGCAGAAGGAAAATCGATAGCAGGAGAAAGGAATATTTCTATTTTTGAAGGCTGGTTCCCCAGTGTGCCGGTGATGACAGCACCTCTCGATTCAACAACCCCCTCCTTCGTTTTATTACATTTTTGTGCCGCCCATCTCGCGGTTCGAGGGAGCCAGGGAGGGTTCTTCGCAGTTCTTTGTCAGACGGGGGTCTCTCTTCCCTTGCCCACAGACCCCCCACTGCACAGGTTGGAGATGTCCAGAGCTCTGCAGTTGGGCAGGTGAACATCTGGTTCCTTTTTGCAGCTGCAAACGGCAGGAAGGTCAGCGGACAGCCAAAGGGGAGGGAGGGGCTGCTTGGTCCAGCTTGAGGCTTTGGAAAGGGGGTCCCTCAGACCCCCCCTCCCCTTCCCAGGAAGAGGGTTTTCAGCACATGGGCACAACTGCTTTACCACTGCTTGCAACGCCCTCTGAAGCACGGCTTTCATAGAGATTCTCCGTCATCCAGGCCATGGTTGCCCCAAAGGTGCTTTTTCAAGAGGCCACTGGACCTTTTTTTTTTCTTTGAAGACGTTTCGCTTCCATTCCAAGAAGCTTCTTCAGTTCTGACTGGATGGTGGAGAATAGAAGGATGTATATTCCTTAGAGACAGCTGGTCATTTGCATCCTTTTAGAGGGTCTTTGAAGCACTTAAAACACTCCTCCAAGTGCTTCAATCATCCTCAGAAAGGATGCAAATGACCAGCTGTCTCCAAGAGGTATAAATCCTTCCCTTCCCCACCATCCGGTCAGAGCTGAAGAAGCTTCTTGGATGAGAAGCGAAACGTCTTCAAAAGAAAAAAAACCCAGAAAATCCAGTTGCCTCCTGTTTAAGATGGGTGGACCAACTTCCGGAATTCTGGGTGGGGAATTCTGGGAGTTGAAATCCACGAGTCCTAAAGCTGCCAAGATTGGATTTTTATTTTTTATTTTATTTTATTTTGAATTTGTATACCGCCCTTCTTCCTGAGGACTCAGGGCGGTGAACAGCCAAATAAAAACATCAAATACAAATATTAAAATACAGTTAAAAATATATATATAGATTTGGATTCCCTCACCCTCCCTTCTGATGAAGAGGAGGCCAATCAGGAAAGGTCAAGTCAGATCGATTCATAACCCCACCGGGTTATTAATGTTATCTATCTATCTATCTATCTATCTATCTATCTATCTATCTATCTACTATCTATCTATCTATCCATCCATCCATCCATCCATCCATCCATCTATCATCTATCTATCTATCTATCAATCATCTATCTATCCATCTATTATCTATCTATCTATCTATCTATCTATCTATCTATCTATCTATCTATCTATCTATCTATCTATCTATCTATCCATCCATCCATCCATCCATTCCATCCATCCATCCATCCATCCATCCATCCATCCATCCATCCATCCATCTATCTATCTATCTATCTATCTATCTATCTATCTATCTATCTATCTATCTATCTATCTATCTATCTATCTATCTATCTATCTAATCCACCCACCCACCCACCCAATTGATATGGTGCCCCTCTCAGCAAGACTTTGGGCAGTGAATAAGAGTGAAAATAGGAAAAAAAAGCTATTATTATTACACACGCTGCAAAAGTTAAAATACAAAGAGAGCAGAAAACGTCAAGCCCAACTCTTAGTGTAACCAAGAAGCAGGTCCCTGCAGAGGCTTGGTATAGCCACGATTAGCTATGATCGGTGAGAAGGATGGCTTAGGATAGATGATGGGAAGGGACCGTAAGATTAGGGGGGTCAAAGGGAATTCTGCCACGTGGCATCTGGGCCCCCCCAAGGGCCACACAACCAGAGGAGCATCACACATTTCTGGAAAGGGAGACACTGGTGGATCAAAACTCTCCCTGGGCGACCCCTCTCAACCCCAGAACCAAGGATGAATGGAGACACTTCAGAAA